GAAAGAGGATCTCTTCTGCTGCTCATCACCTCTTTCCTAGTTAGCCATCTGATCTTGCTTTCAGGGAAGACAGGGACTATTTTCCTTGCTCCCCTCCCTGCAGAACTGTCTTCCACACTATCTTCTCTTCTTTATCTCTGTATACGTGGCACAGCGCTCTCAAATTCAATAAACAGCCCACCTCATAATTGAGCTGACTGTATTTTGGTGCATGGTGACTGATAGCAATATAAAGCGCTTCAGGCATTTTGGGTTGAGTTTACTGTCTGTCTCTGAGGTTCTGAACCTGCAGTTTTGTGTCCAAGCAGAATTCTTCACAGGTAGGACACTTGCCTTCAGTGGCATGTTGTATGAAGTATGCTTGATGTTAATCTAATCTTACAGTCTTTTTTTTTTTTAATTTTTTTCAGTCAACTGTTTATATTGTATTTCTGTGGTATGAATGTAATGGTGCTTACTGGAGTAAATTCCTTGGGGGTTTGTTTTGGTTGGGATATTTTTTCCAACATCAGTGTAACAAACATTTTCACTTTTCTGGTTGAAAAACTGAATATGTGAACGGTGCCTTTAAGGACACAGCCTTTAAAGTTTGAAAACTTTTGTGTAAAGTGAGTAGGAAAACAATTTATTAGTTTTCATTTCAGAGAGAGTAAAAAGTACCTGCACATCAAAAATCGTCAGGACTGACTTTACCCTGGATGCTGTCATCCCTTCCCCAAGCTTAATCAATGCAGCCCTCTGCAGTAATTTTGTTTGGAGCAGCCCATTCTTCCTTCTAAAGTTGTTTCTATTCAGTGTCCTTCGATACATGCTCAAGAGGCTGAGAGACTCAGACGTGATCTTGCCTTGTAGGAAGGCTAGTTCTATTGACTTCTAATCTGTTTCATAGGAAATAGCTTCTTATCATCTTGAATGAATGTCAGTGGTAGGTACTTGTTGCAGTGACTGAATTCTGCTTTCCAAATTACCTTGCTGAGTTCAGGATTGTAGTGTGGAAGATGGCAGAAAAATTGCCCTGCCTGTCCTGTTCTTGGAAAAACAGGAAACTTTCCAACAAGCAGCATGCCCAGGATGCCTAGCAGGATTTGGATCCCCTCTGGTTAAAGGGAGGAGAGCTATTGCTGTGCAAGGTAATGGCACCATTTCTTCCTTTATGTAAGCAGATGGGAGCTAGTGGTCTGTCGTTCCTGCAGAGCAACTAAAAGCCCGTGTTAGCCCTTCCACGCTGGCAAGCATTTGAAGAAACTGAACTTG